AATATAATAATTAAATATTCTGTTAAAACTCAATGATTATCTTAATTATATTTTAGATTTTTTATATTTAAAATGAGATGTTTATCCTGTATTTGATTATGTTTATCTGCAGTTAGTTATACGAATTCAGATATGTAGCTTTAATAAGTTGTACTTATGCACAATCTAATTGTAATATTGAGTTTTAAGTAATATCATTCATAAACAGTACTTTACACATAAAAAGTGGTTTTTAAAAGTTTTTATCAAATGTTTTATAATATAGTATAGATACTTAATAAATTAGATTAATTAATCATCTAAATTTAGGATTAAAATGAAATTTTATAGGGAGTAAAATGAAAATTATTTCAATTCAATAACCACTTACGGACCGTTTACAAACGCTTACCCGATTAAGCGCTTATCAAGTCACATTACCTCACCGGATGAATATGGTAAGGACTAAGAATCTTACACAGTAAGAACGAGACAAGGACCAAGAGTCTTACCAACAAATAAGATGAGATGGGTAGTGAGGAGTTGCTACCAGGGGATCTTAAATGTGTAACAAAGCATCAATAATAAAACTAAAACATTTATAATTGATTGTATTTTAGTAATATTGAAGGGTTCTTTATATTTTAAACTTAATAGGTTTAATGGTCTATATTGTTTAAATCGGTCAGTCGTACATGAGTGTTCGTTTTTTTTTTAATATGAAGGAAATGCACATAAGATGTTTGATGATTGAGAAAAAAAAATCGGGTATATTTAGGTTTCTTGTAATCCTAATTCCACGTCATATTAATGGATTGGCAAAAATTCATCAACAATCATTAATCATATAAACAAAAGCATCAGTTGAATAGAGAAAAAACAAGTGGTAAGAAGTAAAATGGTCGTTTATATTGTTCAAACATTTGTATTATTACATGTTTATATAAACAACATCTAACTCATGATAAAATACAGTTACACATGTTTTTTCAAGGTTATTATACAAATCTCTGTAGTCATTTGTAAAAACACTTGAAAATTATAGGGGTAAAGCAAAAATAGATGAACTCACTTCATCTTCTATTTTTTTTGCTTACCCCCTTCAGTTTTCAAGTTTTGGCAGAAATGACTACAAATATTTTGTCGGCGAAGTTAAGCGGACCATTGAAGGGGGAATGACGTCATCATACACGGAAACCAGCACACATTGCGTCCCACGAAATCAGGAACGTGATCACACGCGCTTGTAAAATATTTTGTCGAAATGGCGGCGAAGTCAAGCGGACCATTGAAGGGGGTTGGCGGTATGGCGCCAAAAGCGTTCTTACTCTTCAACTGTTTATATTTTATTTTGACAATGGTCAATGCTCATTAATAACATCTCCATTGTTGTAATTTTTTTTAAAATAAATAATTAAAAGTTAAAATCTCTAAATAAAAAAAAAAACTATATATAACTCTATTAATTATTCTATTTTAACAATTTTATTATTAATTATATTATTAAAATATTAAATAAATTTAATAAAATTTTATTTCTACTCTTTAAAACATTTAATTTCAATGTCTTCTATTCAGGGACGGACCTAGAATTTTTCACCGTTTGACTATAAAAAAAATATGAGAAAAAAGTTTCATATTATGGCATCATTTTGATTATAAAAAAGAAATGTACAATTTTTTTTTCAAACGATGACACCATTTGACTAAAAAAATGACACTAATAGAATTCGAACTTGGGTCTAAGTGAAATAAAGGTCTTGCAAACTAACTATATCAAATTAAACTTGTTCTCAAAAAGTTTCATAATACATATGGTGACACACAACAGATTAATACGGTTGCACTTTTCACGAACATAAATTTTTTTATCTGACGTGCCACCATATGCACCACTATAGGTTTGTTTCTGCCTATATTTGTGAGAAAGATTTAGGGGTCGTTTACCTAAATAATTACCTGGTAAGTACTTACAGGTAAATTCAACACTATCACTTATTTATCGGATAAAATTTTATTACTAAAACGCATCATATGCAACAATTTATCACGGTAAACGCTAACCATGGTAAGAGTCTTCGTCCTCACTTATCGGGTAAGACTTTCGATTTTCTTGTATTCACTCTTACCAGGTAAGATTTTTAGTCATTGTCATATTCATCCAATAAGTAAAGTGACTTGATAAGCGCTTACCCGGGTAAGCGTTTGGTAAACGGCACCTTAAATGCTATAGGTTTGTCTCTGCCTAAATTTGAATTTTTTTACCTTTTCTCTTTTTTCCCTTCTACTTTAGCATATAAGATAACATAGTTGTTGGAGTATAAAAATTGCAAAAATCGCATTTTTCTCCATTTTAGTATAGATGTTGGAGATGTTCTAACTCCATTAAACATGTCTGCTAAGTAAGGGGTATTTATGTCTTTGTATCATTTCTTTTATTGACCTGACTATCTAACCCGTTATGCGAGCCTACTAATCCCAGAACGACCACCTATTTTGCAGGTAGCTCGGAGTCACCGCATTTGAATCTCCATGGCCACAAGAGAATTTTTATTTCTCCTTGGATTTGAACCTGAGACATCCCAACACTTTTGACCTTTGACCAAGCTCAAACCAATTAGATATCACCCATGTGGTTTCATTTTTGTATTTTGTTTTTACTCGAAGGACCACAATTGTAATTTACCTTTTATATATTTATATTTATATATTCATACTAGAAGGGTACTCGCACAATGTAGCGAGATATTTTTTGATTTTAGTGTTTCATTTTTTTTATCTAGTCGATGTTATAATACGGTTTTTATGTGGTTTTGAGAAAGCGATAATGTTTCAATTTTTGAATAAAATATAAATATGAAAATATCATTAAAAAATTGATATTAGTACCACACTAACTATTTAATTAAAATTTCTCATTTTTTATGTATTTTATTAATTCGTTTTTTTATTTTTTGTTGAATAATATAATTTTTTATAAAGATAATAATTAAATATTTTATTAGAATTCAATAATTATCCTAATTATATTTTAGTTTTTATTATTTTTAAAATAAAATGTTTATTCTCTATTTGATTATGTTTATCTGAAGTTAGTTATACGAATTCAAATATGAGGTTTTAATAAGTTGTACTTACGCACAATTATTTGTAATCTTTAATTTTAAGTAATATGTATCAATAAACAATACTTCATGCATAAAAATGGTTTTTAAGAGTTTTTGCTCAAATGCTTTATAATATAGTATAGATAAATTGGGTTGAGTTGGATTGATCCGGTTGAAGACATTTCACAAACCAACCCAATATTAGCGGTTTGAAAATTTTCAACACAATCCAACCTAAAAAAAGTGCAACCCAACCTAACTCGTTCGAGGATGGTCGAGTTGTGTTTAAACAAAGTAAAATCAACATTGAAAACATAAAAATAAAGTAAACCTTCCTTTAAAATATGATTAATCATTCAAAAGAATAAACGAGTTTATCAAATATTTAGGTATTACATATAATTTTCCAATAATGTCCTCTTATGAGTTTCATTGTTCGTTGTTGCCAAGTTGTTTCTTGGTGGCATATACATATTAAAGAGAAATACAAATAATTTTAGAGAAGCCATTAAAACTTTAATTGGGTTATTTCGGCCTAACATAATTTCAACCTAATACATTTGGGTTGTCCTAATTTTGTATCGTTTATATGACATGTTACCTTGGGTTTAATTTTTTTCGGATTAAGTTGGCAGGGTTGATATGATTGATCGGTTATTTGAACTATGAGAATCTGGAAAACACGTCATCAACTTAGATAAGACATGTGTTCTTATTTTGCCGTCGAATATGTATTATAGAAACTATCATAGAAGTTTTCACCCTTTTCCGTCCCAAAGTATAGAGGCAACTAATGATGTATATAAATTTAGTTTTGCTTGCGATTTTCACTTTTAAGAATACATTTATAGAATTAAACAGTACTACACTGAACGAACAAAAATAAGACAGACAGGTACAAGAATTGCAGAAAGTTTTAAAATTCTAATTTGATATGTATAATTCAGTAATTTACTAATCAATGTTGTCTCATCTCCATGTTTTTTTGATAGGACAAAAAACATACATATTTGTTTCGCTGACTCCATCTAATATCGTTTCAAAGTTTTTGTGTTTGCATGTCTTATAGGTATCGTAATTAATTTCAAGAAAGATATTGTGATAATATAATGTTGTAACCATATGTATACACATAAACCTTGGAGGTAAACTTAATCAAAGGGATCAAAAACAAGGTTTTAGAAGTAGACTTGATTCTGATTATTTGGTTGTGGGGGGGGGGGGGGGGGGGGCTAACAAACAAACCTCACTCCAAATAGTAAATAGCTCACACACTCTCACTCTGTATAAGATGAAACAAAATGATAATTCATAAATATCAAAGGATGGTGCAACAGCCACGTGAGTCATCGTCCCTGTAGAGCTCAGTAGGATACCCATAAACATAGCCTTGAGCTTGAGCCGTGGGCATCAATGGAGCTGATGACCTGGTGATGGTCCGTGGCGGTGGTGGAGGAGCATACCCATAACCAAAATCTTCATTGCAAGCACCACCATAAACATTCTCATCTGCCCATGCTGATCCAGAGGTAGTCGGTTGGTATTGTCGTGGTGGTGGTGGTGGGGGAGGGACATTTGCAGCTGATCCAGAGGTGGTTGGTTCACTTGGTTGGTTGTCAAAGCTGATCTTGATGGTACTCGATTGCGTATACTCCACAGTCTGCAATCCATTGGTACGAGATACCGTCACCAATGCTTCTGCCATATCATGAAAATTGRGGGGACCTTGAATGGACGAGTTACGTGGGTTCATCAAAACAGAGGATGGATTCGAATGGTTGATCCTTCTGGACAGAAAAACGGATTTCCCAGCAAACTTGCGTTGAAGAGCATCCCTGATTTCTTCAGGGTGTCTAGTAGTTTCGATGGTGAATTTCCCATTTTCAGAGTCCACATCTAACAATTTGACACCATCAAACCGACAAAGTGTCTTTTCGACCTTTCTTATACATTTGGTGCAGTTATGTAATGGGATGATTTGAAGATCAACCGATGTTGTAGCCATCTCTGATGTCTGCTGAATAGGTCAAGAAAGAAAATACAACCGAAACATATGACAAGTTGTTCTGTAAGCATCTAAAAACAGCTTTGCTTCGAGATATAGAGTGTGCAAAAATCAAAAGGTAAATGTACCCGGTAACAGCAGAATCATCTTCATAAAACATTTAAGTAATTAGACCTCTAGATAACAAAAACAGACTTGGTGCAGAACAATAATTCGACGTTGTGTAAAACAATAATGAAATTAAAAAAAAAAAGACAAGTCTATGAACAAATTAAATAAAGAAAGCGAAAAAAGGAATTAGGAGAAGAGATATTCAAACCAGGAAACCGGGCTAATCAGTGAAGAAAGGAGATAGAAGTTTCTGCACACATGAATCAAAATTCGAGAGAGTTAGGGGATGTTTCTTTTTTCTATTGAAACCTGTCTGTATGGAATAAGATTACTGAACATAGAATGCAGATACATAATGCCTATCTAATTCAGTCCTTGCTTAGAAATTAAGCCAAAAACCAATACCACTTAATGGCCAAGCAAATTAGCCATTAAGCAGAAAAAACAAACAAACAGGTCCTTAGTAGAATATAGGCGTTATTGTGTTCACTTATCAGTTGTCTCATAGTATTAATATCATCTGGTAGAATACAGCACCAAAGACTCCCAAATTTCTAACCTTTCTACAGCCTTTTCCTAGCTATATAGCAGGTAGCTGTACCACATAAGCACATAACACCTTCAAAGAACTCTGAGATCCTTATGCTGTAAGCATGTGTGGTTCATCGACCATATTCTTCAGATTAACATTAACCCTAAACAATCAAGATTTCAACATAACTCCAGAAGAGGACACACCATAAATTTAAAGCAGGAAGAGAAATGAAGAAGAACACCATAATTGAAAAATCGATGTGTGTATAGTGAAAAAAAGGTCACAATCCTAAAAATCAAAATCAAAGAAAATCATTTTCAAGAATCTGAGGCGATCTTTGCAACAAAAAAAAAACCATATCTGATTGATTCATATGCGGAATCACATTCCAGCCTATTCTATGAACAAGTAATCTGAGCCGATTTCAAATATTCAAAGATCTAACATACTACACCATTATGAATTCAGATCTTAAACATACTACACCTGAATTTCTTCATTATTGTGAACTAGGACCTCAAACATCAAACAACAATTATGATATTGAAAAGATTTGACTTCTTCGATCGGATGATCAAACATCACGCAATTATGATCTTGAATGAATAGCACGTAAGTTTACTCATTAAGACTCTAGATCTGAGATCTTTTACTTTGGTCTTGCCTGATAAATCACCATGAATGCATAAAAAACAAATACCTCAACAAATATTGAGTAGTTTCAAAAGAAAAATCACACAACCGCTTCTTCCAAGAAAAGGTTAGATCAAACCAAAATTCACATCGTCGATAAGTTCGGTTGAATAAAATGAGAGTAATTCCAAACAAAATAAACAAACACTCATAATTCGAAATCAAAAATGAAAGAACGGAGATGGAGTTTTTCATCAGTTCAAGGAGTTATCGGCATAATAAACTCAGAAATTGCAATCAAAACTTAAAAACAGCAAGAAAAATACATAAATGCTTACTTGCTTTGGGTTTGTAGATACTCAGGAGGGTAGCAGCAGCGGGGAGAAAGGTTTGTGAGGATCTGAATGTGTGTGGTGGGGGTATATATAGGGTTGGAGACTAGAACCAAATGACTGTGATGCCCTTTCTTATATGAGGATAATTTTGAACTTTTTAAGATTTACAGTTAAGGACAACTAAACTATGATTTTAGTCCGTGTGGTTTGATGTTTATGATTATTTTTGTCCCTACTTTCTAAAAATTGCTTTTTTAGTTATTATACTTTTGATTTTATTTCATTTTTTTTTTCTCTAGAATTAAGGGGTTGTTTGTTTATCTTTTAATAGTTATATAAAGAGGCAACTTCTGAATTATTAAGAGTTGAATCTTGTTTGACAAAAAAAAGTCTGTCTCTTAATGGTTACAAAATCATTCAGTACAAAATCTTCTGAATGATTTTGTATCATGAGTCTCCCTTAATCATTCAACGTCCTAATTTCATGGTAAATAATTACCAGACAATTATATTTCATTTTGCACTATATCATGAAAGCATATTAATCATTCTGACCACTTAATCATTCTGTACCAAACCATTCAGTAACTACCAAACAGCTCATAACTTTGCTTAAAAACCTCTATTACATCAAGGTCATTGTACTAAAAAAGTCAAATGTATTCCACAAAAAAAAAATTAATGGTGTGTTTTTTATTAAAAAATGAGAATAATAATTTTTTTGTTGTTTGGTTCATGTTGGACAATGAATACCCCCCCCCCCCCCCCCCTAATTTAACCTAGAACAATAATTTGGGCTTATGAATAAGGAACTCATTATATTATATTAAACCAAACAATTTACTTTATTATCATTCTCATTGATTACTGTTTAATACCTCTAACCAAATACCTCTAAATAAAATATTAAATAAAAAGAGGGATGTTGCAGACCATGACTATGAGATGGTAGTTGTTCTTGAAAATCAACATATTTTTCATCCTATGTGATCACATACCTACAAATATCGGCTTCAATAAGGTAACATTTTTCTTGATGGGTGTCATTTTATTTCTTGAAATTCAGCTTATTTTTATCTTCAATAGATACATAATACAATTCAATAATGCAATGTCCAAGTGCTTTTAAAAAAAGAATTGTTAGTTTTTAAATTTGTTACTAAAGGTTAGGGTTAACAGAGTAATGGGTTGGGTTTACGATAATGTTAATTGGAGAAGGTGAAAGTAAAGAATGAAGGGAGTAATGTTAGGACTTAGGAGGGTTGGGATTTAGGAGCCGTTTACCTAAACATTTATCCGGTAAGCATTTATCGGTAAAATTCAACACTATCATTACTTACTGGGTAAGATTTGACTCCACAAAAACGACATTGTATGTAATAATTTACCCGGTAAGCGCTAACCGTGGTAAGAGTCGTCGTCATCACTTATCGGGTAAGACTCTTGGTCATTGTCTTCGTTATTACCGGGTAAGATTATTGGTCCTTGTCATATTCATCCGGTAAAGTAATGTAACTTGGTAAAAGCTTATCCAAGTAAGCATTTGGTAAACGGCTCCTTAGATTATCATATTACCCCCTAAATTATCATATTTTTAGTAATAATGTGGTGTCTTGATAGAAATTATAAACCTTTTATTTCTAATGTAGATCACGAGTAGAATGTAAAAATGTATGGCTCTTGGACTTGTATTGCAATCAACTTATTTAAAACGAATGAACATTGTCAGGGGACTGTATTAGTTATTACACAAATATATGTAGTCATTTGTGCCGACACTTCAAAATTGAAGGAATAAAGCAAAAATAGATGAACTCACTTCATCTTCTATTTTTCTTTTTACCTCCTTTAGTTTTCAAGTGTCGGCAAAAATAGCTACAAATATTTTGCCGAAATGGCTTTGAAGCTACGCGGAACTATCACGGGGAGGATGACGTCATCATACGTGAAAACCAGCAGACGTTGCGTCCCGCGAAAGCAACTCAGACACGCGCTCACTCGCGCTTCTATTTTATTTATTAAATAATAAAATCTTTCAAGTTACAAATAAACTTGTCAAAAATTATATAAAAATGAAACTAACTCTCACCTAATTTCTATTTTAAGGAATCAATTTTTAAAATTACTATTTTAGGGAACCAATTTGCATCTGATTCTTATTTCGATGAACCAACTTGCAAAATATAGAAAAATAACTAAAAAAAAAAATTTCAAAAAATTAATGCAATAAAATCTATTTTTCATTTCAAATCTTTTTTTTTAATTCAGATATCAAATTGAACATTTAAAAAAAAATCCAAATTACCACAATACAAATCGTTTTTTACTAATGCAAAAAAGATCAATTTAATAGAAAAAAATTAATTGATGCAATAAAAAATAAATATTAAATATCACATTAAAGATTTTTATATCTAACCAATCTGTATCAATTAATTTTTTTCTATTAAATTGATTTTTTTTTTGCATTAGTAGAAAACAATTTTTTATTGTGGTAATTTGGATTTTTTTTAAATGTTCAATTTGATATCTGAATTAAAATAAAACGAGATTTGAAATGAAAAATAGATTTTATTGCATTAATTTTTGGAAAAAAACAAATTTTAGTTATTTTTCTATAATTATTTTGCAAGTTGGTTCCCCAAAATAAAAATCATGTGCAAATTGGTTCCCTAAAATGATGATTTTGAAAGTTGGTTCCCCAAAATAACGATTTTGAAAGTTGGTTCCCCAAAATAAGAATTAGGTGAAAGTTGGTTCCATTTTGGTGCAATCTTTCCTTAAATTTGAGTTAATTCTTGTTTAATGTGATTAGATAGGTACTCGTACAATACAACGAGATATATCTTATTTTTAATTTTTTGTTTTATTCTGTCTTTGTAAAGGTTATAATAATGTTTATGTGATTTTGAGATATGGATAATGTTTTTATTTTTAAATAAAGTATAAATGTGAAGATATTATTAAATTTCGAAAATAAATATATCGATATTAGTATAAATTAAATATTTAAAGGTTTTTTTAANTTTGTGTAAATTTTTAATTCAATTTTTTTTATAATTTAATTTATGTACAATAACGAAATAATTTATATTTGGTTTAATAATATAATTTTTTATAAGGATAATAATTAAATATTTTAATAAAACTTAATGATTATTTTAATTATATTTTGGATTTTTTATATTTAAAATGAAATGTTTATCTTGTATTTGACTATGTTTATTTGCAGTTGATTACACGAATTCAAATATACAGTTTTAATAAGTTGTACTTACGTACAATTTATTTGTAATATTGAATTTTAAGTAATATGTATCAATAAGAGTATTTCATGCATAAAAAATGATTTTTAAGAGTTTTTATTAAATATTTTATAATATAGTATAGATATTTTATTTAGGACCTTTTATCTTAATCACACTTTTTATCATGTTCAACTTACCCAAAAATTAGAACAAATAATAAAATATCATATATAAAAGTACTATATAAAATCACATGGGTGGTCCATGATTGGTTTGAACTATGGCTACAAATATTAAAAGTGTCTGGAGGTCATAGGTTCAAATTCAAGAAGAAATAAAAATCTTTTTGTGGGCACGGAGGTTCAAATGCGGTGACTTCGGGCTACTCGCAAAGCAGGTGGTCGCCCTGAAATTAGTTGGCTCGCGTAGCGGGTTGGTTATCTGGGTTAATAAAAAAAAAGTGCTACAATAAATTTATATGATGATTTTGAACGTTTTAAAATGTTGTTTAGAACATTTTTTAAATAAAAATATTGTATTAGTTATTTTATACATCATTAAAAAAAAATCTTATGAAATACTTAATACGACACTTTATTTTAAAAAATTATATTAAAAAACTAGTTAAAAACCCCAAAATCATTTTATAAACTTACTATAAAATTTCACATGAAACGTACTATTATCTTATTATGTATAATCAAATCATATAAAGTCATGTATTCGGACATTTAGACGACCTTTAAACTCAATTTGTTGTAACGAGAGGAATTATGCATTTAGGTGAGGGGTATATGTAATGCGGAGGAGAGGAATTGTAGGTCAGTGTTGATGGAGGGAGTAATTGTAAGATCTCATCTCAGTTGGTAAGAGGAACGAAGATTGGATTATAGAAGACTGAATACCTCTTTATAAAACCTGATTTAAAATCGTTAGTTAGAGTGTGGACAAATCGGACAATCTCTGGTACGGTTAGTTTATGATATTACAATTGGTATCAGAGTCGGGGATGGAACGAAGGTTGCGTTGTACGGCACTAGATATCTCCTCTATCAGACACGTTTTTAAAACCATAAGTCTATGTACGTATAAAACGGACAATATCTGATACGATTGATTTAAAATGTCCCAACGGAAGCTAGTGTGAATAAAATATATGATAGGACTTTATTTTTGCTCCTAATTTTTTTAGAACATGATTTTCTTTATTTATCCTCCGTTTTCTTTATAAAAAAAAAGTTTGAAACATAACGCTACCGTTTCAAAAATAAGTCTCGCGTTATGTTCACATAAGAATTCAAAGTAAAGTATTTGTTTATGTGAATAATTAATATTAAATTTACATAAAACAGTTTAATATTACAATAACAAAAGTTGAATATAATAATTGAACCACAAGGGTGGTGTCTGATTGGTTTGATCTTGACTTCAAATATCAAAAGTACCAAGAGGTCTCAGATTCAAATCCAAAGAGAAATAAAAAATCCCCTTGTGGCCACGGAGGTTCAAATGCGGCGACTTCAGGCTATCTGCAAAGCAGGTAGTCGTCCTGAGATTAGTCGACTCATATAGCAGGTTGGATATCCAGGATAATAAAAAATATATAATAACCGAAAATAAATTTATATTACGATAAAGAGAATAAAACGACAATAATGAGATTGTAATAATAAAGTTATTATTTCATATTAGAATACAATTAAAAAAAACAGTATAAAAAACTTAAGAAATAATAATAAAAATTAAAT